AGGGCGACGGCGAGCTGGGGCGGGGGCGGGGGCGGAGAGGAGGGTGGAGGGGGCAAGGGTGCCGTGGCTGCGAGGGCGGGCCCCGGCGGCGAGGAGGGCGGCGGCGGCGAGGGCGAGGGGTGGTGAGAGTGGCAGCAGGCCGAGGGAGGCAGGGGTGAGGGCGGCGCGGCGAGGCGGGAGGCGGCGGCGAGGGCGGCAGCGAGGGCGGCGGCAAGGGCGGCGGCAAGGGTCGGGGGATAGTGTAAGAGATCTCGCGGCGCGGTGACGGCAAGGGCGAGGGCAGCGGAGGGGGTGGGGGCGGTGGCGGCGGCGTGGGTGGCAGCGAGGGAGGCGGGCATGGTGGTGGTGGCGAGGGTGGTGAGAGCAGCGGCGGTGGAGACGGTGGTGAGGAGGGCGGTGGCGGTGAGGAGGTCCAAGGACAGTGGCAACGGAGGTGACTTGTGGGTGATGCTAGAGGAGTGCTGTGTGCTTCGGAAAACGCAAAGAAGAGCATGGAAGGCTCTGAGGGGGTAGGACGCTTGCGCCGCCCGCTCCGGAGGCCGCATTCAGCCCGGAGGGGACCGCGGGAGCGCCCAGTGGCGGCTCGGAGAGAGCCGGGTGTGTCTGCGTAGTGGCCTGCGCACTGCCTTGGGGCAGGCCGGCGGCGAGGGCGGTGGAGGTGACGGTGGTGACGAGGGGGGGGCGGCCAGCTAGGGCGGTGGGGCGGCCTGGAGCGGAGAGGGTGAGAAGCGGCGGCATGCTGGAGGGCGGCGGCGGCGGGGCGGGAGGCGGAGGCGAGGATGGCGGCGAGGGTGGCGGCGCGGGCGGCGGTGAGGGCGGCGGTGAGGGCGGGGGCTAGCGTCGGAGGGCGGGTGGGGATTGCAGCTGCAACGGGCGGCGGGGGCAAGGTGGGGATGAGGGTGGGGGCGGCGAGGGTGGCCGGAATGGTAGCGGCGGCGTGGGGGCGGTGGCGAGGGCGGTGGCGAGGGCGGTGGCGAGGGTGGTGGCGAGGGCGGTGGAGGAAACGGTACAGGGTGGCCACAGTGAGAGGGCGGCGGGGGCAATGACAGTGGGCAAGCGAGTTGGCCGGGCGATGCTACAGAGGAGCGCAGTGGGTGCTTTGGAACGGAAAGAAGAGCGTGGAGGCTCTGAGTAGACTTAGACGCTCGCGCCGCCCGCTCCGGAGGCCGCATTCAGCCCGGAGGGGACCGCGGGAGCGCCCAGTGGCGGCTCGGGGAGAGCCGGGTGTGTCTGCGCAGTGGCCTGCGCGCTGCCTTGGGCAAAATTGGCGCTCTCGCCCCCTCGGCTCCGCCCCCGAGCGAGTGAGGCTCGGAGGAGAGGCGAGGGGGCGAGAGCGCCAGGAGAGCGACTGGGGAACGGGAGAGGCCCTGAGGGTTGTTGCGCGCGCGCAACAAATCGTCAGAACCAAGGCTGAATCTCAGCGGATCGTGGCAACAAGGCCACTCTGCCGCGTACAATACCCCGTTCCTTATTCAAGTCGTCTGCAAGGGATTCGTCGGCCCGGGTCCGTGAATTGTGGTCGCTCGCGGCTCAGGCAGTGCTACCGTTGCTCGTGGCGTCCCCGGGCCGGTAGGTGGCTTTCCTTCCGGCATGGATTCTAACTTAGAGGCGTTCAGTTATAATCCGGCGCATGGCAGCTTCGCCGCATCGCCGTTTCCGGCGGCGGCTATACCGATGATGCGAATTGGTGGTTCCTCTCGTACTGAACCAAATTACCGTAGAAAAACAGACAGCAGTAGGGTAAAACTAACCTGTCTCACGACGGTCTAAACCCAGCTCACGTTCCCTGTTGGTGGGTGAACAATCCTGCATTTGGCCCCCGCTGCGAGGCAGTGATAGGAAGAGCCGACATCGAAGGATCAAAAAGCTACGTCGCTATGAACGCTTGGCAGCCACAAGCCAGTTATCCCTGTGGTAACTTTTCTGACACCTCTAGCTTGAAATTCCCAAAGACGAGAGGATCGATAGGCCACGCTTTCGCGGTTTGTATTCGTACTGAAAATCAAAATCAACCGAGCTTTTCCCCTTTCGGTCCACATGAGATTTCTGTTCTCATTGAGCTCAAAATCGGGCGCCTGCGTTATTTTTTAACAGACGTGCCGCCCCAGCCAAACTCCCCACCTGTTAGTGTCCCCGACGCGGATCGCGCGCACGAAGCGGCTTGGATCCAGAAGTGAGGCGAGCCTCCCTCCGCGCCACCGAGTAAGTAAAACAACGTTGACGGTTGCGGTATTTCACTGTCGGGTTGCCCCTCCCGCATATTCTACACCCATCAAGTCGTTCCACAGTAACAGACTAGAGTCAAGCTCAACAGGGTCTTCTTTCCCCGCTGATTCTTCCAAGCCCGTTCCCTTGGCTGTGGTTTCGCTAGACAGTAGATAGGGACAGTGGGAATCTCACGAATCCATTCATGCGCGTCACTAATTGGATGACGAGGCATTTGGCTACCTTAAGAGAGTCATAGTTACTCCCGCCGTTTACCCGCGCTTGGTTGAATTTC